CGGTCTGGGGAGACGCAGCCAGCTTGGGCTCCCCGGGCTTCCCCGGGGCGACGGGTGTGGGGATCTCATTAGGAGAGCCAGGCTGTGGGCGCCAGGAGAAGAAGGGTAGCCGGAAGCGGGAGCCCCCCGGGGGGACGGCCCGTTTCCGCGATCCGTCGGCGGCCGGCTCCATCTCCATTTCTTCTTGGCAATCGCTCAGGACCCCGGCGCTCGGCGGCTGGAGGGCGCGCGTGGCGATCCGCCGGCGGCGGCCTAAATAGCCCGGGCCTTACCGAGGGGCGCAAAGCGCGCGCCGGGCCGATTCCGGGGCCAGCAGAGGCGCCACAGGGGGACGGGGCTCCGGCAGCGGGCGGCGGTCCAGAGCGCGGGGCGGCAGGCGCGGGACGCGGCAGCGGAGGCCGAACCCATGCTGGCGCCGGAGGTGTCCTAGTCCGCTCGAGGGCTCAGCACCATCGATGGGAGTGCCCCCGCGGCGGCGGCTTTCCGAAGACAGGCCTGTTAGGGAGACCTTGGGCGGCGCGGCACCGGAAGGGCTGGGGAGACGAGTGGGCGCGGGTGGAACCGAAGTCCAAAATGGCCGCAGAGGCGCACTGGGGCAGGACGAGCCGAGATCGCCGGAGGAGCCAAGGGTGGAGGGGCGTTTACCCAGCCCGCCCGCGCCGCCGAGCGTCACTCGCGAGACGCCAGGGGGCGGGCCTCTCGGCGCACTTCCGGGTGGCCGCTGATTGGTCTTCCCGTTCCCCTGCCGGCTTCCTTACGCTCGGTAGACTGCGCGCGCACGCGGGAGGTTGCATCAGCCGGGCCCCGTCCTGCGCGTGCGCGCTCGTTTCCTCGGAGACCGCCCGGCCGCCCTGTGGGTGAGAGGGAAGGGCTTGGGGAGGCGGGGGCGGTTCAAGATAACGCAGGATTCCCGTTGGTCCCTGGCTCGGTGTGCTAGATAGAGGGCGTCCCAAAGTTTGTAGAAACATTGGATTGAGGGATAATGGGTTTTGGGTTTTTCCCCATGAACTTTTGGGAGCACTATTTTGGTATTGGGGTTCCAGTGGTTTTGAAAGGAGCATCAACATGATAGAGCTGGGCAATGCTGTGTGAGGACCCTTAAGTGGGAAATAGCCGCTTTACTTATTCTCGTGGTTTTAGCGTTGTTCTGTAAACTAGCATTTCCCCAGACCCAGCCTTGAGGTCCCGTGCTGAGACCTGTGGACGACCCCCTTTCGTTGCGGGGCCAAACGAAGTCACCGAGGAGGAGAGAGACGTGGTCCCCAGGACTCTGAACTCTTGATGGCTTCCCCGAAGGCCACACATCAATTTATTTTCTGAGTTCCCCAAACCACAATGGACGCCACCCAAAGACGAAAGTGCAATTACCTTTATTTTTTAATTATTTGGGGGGTGGGGGTGGCTGGTAATATAATTTTTAATTGCTACATTTGATTCTCTCTTGTGACTTTGCCCTTCATTCATTTCCTTTGTATTCCTCCTAAAACTTTTAAATCCATGGCCCTGAAGTTTGGTATCGATTACATAGGGAGGGTGGTAATGGAGCACTTGAGACACAGACAAATCTCTGGGGAGCCAGGCAGAGACCAGCTACTGCCATTCCTGCTTTCTTGGGCCCCGTTCAAGGAAACTTCTGGAAAAACACACGCCAATCCACTTCTGTGGAGGCTGATGGCGACACTCGTGTGTCAGAGTGGAATGGCTCCACTAGGTTTTCTTGGCTGTGATTGTTAAAGCTTCTCAGTTCTTGGCTTGGCATGAGAAAGAATCCACGCCGAAGCCTGCTGGGACCCAAGTGGGTTTTTATAAAGGATGGAAAAGTTTCAGGTTTACAGTCACTGAACACCCACACGTGGTAGACTGAGGCCAGAGAGACCATGACACTCAAGCAGAAGGCAGAAAAGAAAACCAGAGGGGCAGGTGGTCTTGACGTCCCCATATTTGGCGCTTTGGCTGAGAGGCGTGGTTAAATGTATTGGTTAGCCCCAATGGCTGAATTAAGCACTCCTGGCCTAGTTTGGGTCCATGCAGGTGTATGGCCCACCTGGCTCTGGCTTGAATTGGTGCATGCCCCTTAGCCTTTATGCCTTCCAACCTCCTGGGGGGTGGGGGGAGGCAAGGGGGAGCTCCCCTGTTTCTAGCCACCTAACATAATCTTTACAGAAGCAGAGCTCCAAGCCTTTTTGCTGCAGTGCTGTTGGGTAGTGTCAGCCTCCTTGAGGGCAGTCCTGGAGTGCAAACGGTTCATGCCACCCAGGGACCACCCATAACTGAGGTCCTCCATTTTTAGGGTTTACCTTTTATCATTTCATTATGTTTATCTCCAGAAATACCTCACTTCTCATCCTACGGACTAAGAAGAACATGTCAGTAATAGTTTAATAAGAGAAAAGAGATCCAAGCAGGCAAATTCATTACTAGACACCTCACTTACTCCAGCTGCAAAGTGAATTAGTGGCTCCTTCAATGGACTAGCAGGAGAGCGGACCCTCCTAACGATAGAGTAGGGTCACAATAGACATAGTATTCTGATGGAGCCCTGGTGGTGTAGGGGTTAAATGTTGGGCTGCAGTCCGAGTGGTCAGTTCAGAACCACCATCAAGCAGCTCCGCAGGGGAGAGATTGGGTTTGCTACTCCGGTAAACAGTTACAGCCCCAGGAACCCACCGGGGGTCGCTGGGAGTCAGCACTTTGGTGGCACAGTGGGTTATCCATTGAGCTGCTAACTGCAAGGTCAGCAGCAGTTTGAAACTACAAGTGGATCTTCGGAGAAAGATGAGGCTGTCTACTCCCATAGAGGTTTAGTCTCCGAAGCCCACAGAGGCCGTTCTGCTCTGTCCCGTATAGGCACCAGGAGTCAGAGCCAACAGTGACTTTGGTTTTGGGCACATTCTTGTTTCCTTCTACTTTAGACAGTTCTGTCATTTATTTCCTACCGAATGAAGGCGCTCTGCTCCCACCACCCTCTCCTCCTCAGCCACTCCCTTTCCTGCACGTTACACTCCAGGAATATTGGACTCATCAGTATTCCGTGTTTCATGTCTTTGCTCGTGCTGTCCCTTGGCCAGGACAGCCCTCACCCTCCCTGTCAGGTTCCTGCTCGTGCCTCAGGGTCCAGCTCAGATGCCAACTCCTCCTCCAAGCCTTCGTCAGAATTAGCTGATCGCTGCCCCACGTGCATCCTGATTGTCTACTGAGTACATACCACATTGCCCTCCGTGTGCCTGTCATGTCCTCTCCTGCTTGTCTTCGCACTCCTTGAGGGCTGAATGCCAATACCCAGCACAGTGGCTCTCTGTGTGTGCTCAGGACTCCCAGGAGGGGGACACAGTGTGAAATAGTTCCAGTGTCCTCAGCATCAAAAACACAACCCTAAGCGCCACTCTGCTTTTTCACTCTCCCTGTGTGGTGAGTGCACAGTGGATCCGGCCGTGCCCAGAATGCAAAGGTAGATAGTGAGTCCAGACGTTCTCGGTGCAGCGGGCGTGAAAGAGACGTCGCAGCAGCAGCAGCAAAGGAGAGCAGGGGCCCTCTTCTTTCTAACCAGTTTGCTTTTAAATGTTTATGTCCACACATGATTGGTTTATGGTTTTTCAAATTATTACTAAATGTTTTTACATCCCTCGATTTTTAGTTTTGAAATCCCTCCGTGTTTAGTTTTGTAAATACCAATAGGTATAACCCACAGAAACAAAAGGCCTTTGGAGTCCTAAGGAATTTTTAAGAGTGGAAAGGGATGCTGGGACCAGAAAGTTTCAGGACCATTGGCCTAGTGTGTTCATCGCCTCATAGTAGGTGCCCAATAAAGGCTTGTTGAATGAATGGGGTGGGGGGAGTGTGTTAGTCTGGGTACTTTAGAGAAACAAATCCACAGAAACTCATGTATAAGAGTTTTGTATAAAGGTTAAGTGCACATCAAGAAAACATCCCAACCCAGTGCTGCCCAAGCCCACAAGTCCAACATTAACCCCTGTGTCCGACCCCAGTCCACAAAGTCTTCATCTCACAAAACACGCAATGATGCCGACTGCAGGTGGAAAGCCGAGTCAGTGAGTGTGTAAGCATCTCAGCGCTGGCAGGGGTCTCCACACGACTGCTCCAGCACCCAGGGCTGCATTGGGGTAGGTCCATGTGGCTTCTTCTCAGGGATGTCTTGCAGGAAGTGAGCCTTGCCAGGTGAAGCAGGGAACTGGCTAAGGCAGCTACACCCTGGTCCGACCATCAGAAAGCAAGAGACCTGAGAACTTGAAAGGCAAGGCTTACCGAGTCATTTATCCCTCCACCCGTCAATTAACCCCACCTGTGTTTATCGGCCAGGTTGGCACAGTTAACTACCTCAGGGAGTAAAACTTTACAACATCTTTCTTAGAACAAACCTCTTGCATTCTATTATCTCTGTCACTAACGACACCACGTGCTCTTAAAAAAAGGTGGGGGGTGTTTCCTAAAATCTCTTGATTGGGCCTGTCTCCCCCACCTAGTCATTAGAAGCATACTTTTACTCTTAAGTTTGGAAATTGTTGAGAGTGGGGGCGAGGGCAGAAAGACAACCACCAAGAATTTGAAAGCAATGAAATAGGTGACTGCCTTGTCATTTTTTGTTTTTAAATAGGGCTTGTGCCTCCCTATCAGGGAATCGAAGCCCAGTCTCCTGGGTGACAGGCAGGGATACTCACCACTATACTAACAAGGGCGGCACCTCGTCAGTCTTGACAGGAAAATAACATGTGAGCTGCCTCCTGAAGGCTACTATCAGGTGGGGGGTGGGGAGGTAGCGGACTGCTCTGTTCACGGAGTATCACCTGGGCTGTGTGCTTGCCGGTGAACACAAGACGCCCTTGGCCTTAGTGATCTACATAAAACCCCCTCGCTGGGGGACGGACAACAGAAAAGTGGGTGAAGGGAGACATTGGTGTAAGACATGAAAAAATAATTTATAAATTATCAAGGGTTCATGAGGGAGGGGAAAAAATGAAGAGCTGATACCAAGGGCTCAAGAAAATGTTTTGAAATAATGATGGCAACATAGGTACAAATGTGCTTGACCCAATGGATAGATGTATATGGATTGTGATAAAGAGCTGTATGAGCCCCAAATAAAATGATTTAAAAAAGAAGAAGCCTTTGGCCTACCAATCTGGCCAGCACTTTGGCGGATGAGAATGAAAACCTGCTAAGCATGCGTTTTGGTTTTTTTTAATATTTGTTGGTCTGTAAACTTTCACCCAAACCACACACCAAAATAAAAAAGGGAGAGAAAACTGTTTAGGTTTTGTAGTTGGCCCCAAGGTGAATTTCACATAGCTCTTTCCAGCAAAACAAAAACAAAGCCATGGCCGTGGTTCAAGTCCAGCTGGCAGCAGTTCCGTAGGAAAGGGCAGAGCGGCCCAGCGGGTCTCCAAGGCTGTGCTTCTTATGAACGCTAACTGCCACATCTTCCCCTGTGGGATCCAACTGAGCGCTTAGCTTCTCCACTGCCCTGCTAGGGCTCCTTCTAATCCCTGTACCGCAAAAGACGTAAGTCTTACTTCCAAATACCCCGCACTCCAACTGTCATCGATCTTTCTAATCTACTGCCCCGGGATCCCTATTCAGCCACTTGTTTTCATGCTCTATCAGTGTCTTCTTGTCCCTCCCCGGTGCTTTGGCTGTTGAATCTGACTCATGGTGACCTTGTGTGGGACAGAAGGAAGCGTTGCCTGGTCCACCATCCTCAGGGTCGTTCCTGTATTTGAGTCCATTGTTGTGCTTCTTGTCAGTCCAGCTCATTGATGCTGACCCTCATTTCTGCTGACCCTCGACTCAACCAAGCACAATGGCCTTTTCCAGTGATTGGTCTGTCCTGGTGACA